TATCTTTGGTTTGATTTATGATCAGACCAAAGATTTCAGGTCAACTTGGTAAGGTCAAATTTGGGTCAAAGGTTAAGATTCTCTTTGGATGATAATGTTTTTGGTAAAAGTTTTTTGAGTTTAAGTATATGTTTGACAAACACCCTCTAGATCTATTTTAATAATTTTGTTAAAAAGAGTTTTTTCCAAACATGCCATTACAAAAATAAATAATAATAAATAATAAATAATTTTTGGTTGTTGCATGCATTTCAATCATTTCAAAAATTACATTTTAATAGAGGGGGGGGGTTTAACATTGTCTTAGAAAATTTATGTGCATATATATATATATATATATATATATATCTTTATTAAGAATTTGATTAATATTTCAATAACCATAAAAATTTTAATTTTTATAAATTAATGGTCAATATTTTAGTATAAATATTGGATCAACCATAGGCTGGTGATATTTAAGTATCAGAAGTTGACTTGAAAACTCTCAAAATTATTTTGGATATTCATATGAACAGTGAAGAGGTCTTTTTTGTTCTAAGTCGGACAAGTTCCATGCCAAACCTTAATGTATTGCATTGAGTTTGATATAGTAAAATTAAAAAATTCAACAAAATTGCTTAGGTTTCGTGTTTTATTTGAGAAACTAGTGTTTAACATGATACTAAATAATTACATTAGAATAAAATCTCATGATGACGTAGTATTTGTAGAATTTGATTGCAATCCTAATTTTATTTCTAATGATATTTTATTGAATATTATTGCACACTCAAGAAGACGAAAACTATAATTCTTATCAGATGAATTTCATACGTAATGGAATTGCAAATAGTTTAATGAAATAATAAAAAATAATTTATATCAAGTAATTTTTATTTCATGATACAATAACTGTAGTTAAATCAACTCAACAGATTTCAATTAAATATATATATATATATATATATATATATATTATTTTATAACTTCAATTTGAAAAACATTCGTAACCAAACACATTAAACTATTTTTTATTCAACCTCAATTACAATCATAATTTTAACTAAACATATATTTTTTCAAATCAATCTTAATTAAAAGTACTTTTTATAAAATAAATTTTTTAAATCACAACCACGAAAACTACCACAATTTAAGAGTGTTTGGAAATGTAATAGTTGTTGTTTTTTAAAGTGTTTTTTGTTTAAAAATAAATTAAAATAATTTATTTATTTTTTAAAATTTATTTTTAACATCAATACATCAAAACAATTTAAAAATATAAGAAATATTAATTTAAAATAAAATAAAAACTTAAAATTTTAAAAAACCTTCAGTTGAATTATTATCCCAAACCAACACTTCCAGAGTTATGGTTATTTAGAAGATGGCAGGAAGCATATATATATATATATATAGAAAGAGTGGCAAATAAGTAAATTAAGGGATAAGTAAATTAAGGGAGAGATTTGAGTGAAAGATTGGCCGACCAAAAAAACTAGTTATTAACTCAATGATTAAGTCGGTATGTCAAACAATAACTTATTTTACTTATTTGATTAAAGTGTTCTTTGATAAAAATAAAACATTAATTGATCTCCTTCGAGTTCTTAGAGAGGAAGATGAAATAAATTGAACTTGTTTCTAATTAATACTAATTGGGTCATTTGATTTTTACATGTTTTATCAAACCTTTTTTTAATAAATTTAAAAAATTATTTTACTTTAAATTATTTTTAATTATTTTTAATATATTAATATTAAAAATAAAATTTAAAAAGTAAACGAGTAGAAAGATATTTTATTGACCGAACACAGCTAAAAAGAGACTGTTTCTTTGAGTGCCTCTCTCTGTACTGTAGGAGAGTGCATGAACCATAACCTTCCACGTTCATAATCAACGCTGAGAGAGCTAGCGCGTAATATTAGTCATGAAATGATTGGCCCACGTTCAAGCCATTCCTTTCATTGGTCACCGTCATGCTTTGTCCATCTAGATATATACAAAATGTGTAATGATTATTTTTTGAATTATTTTATATTAGAAATATATTAAAATAATATTTTTTAAATTTTTAATATCAAAAAAAGTTGATAAAGATTGATTTCTGCATATATATATATATATATATATATAATAACAACAACAAAAGAGAGTGTGATGCTGTCGACCTTCCTGGGAAACTGTAGAGCAGCATGCAGCCTTGCATGGGCAGGAGAGCTTGGCGGGCGGCCTTGCTGACAGAGCTAGCTGGGGTATTATTGACCGAACCCATGTGTGCATAACTCTCCATGCAAGTTGACTTTCCATGCTTTAGAACATTTGTTGTCGTCCTTAGGTGCAAGAATTTTTTTTAATCAACATGAATAAGTTTCATCCAAATTATCCACGATGTTTTAATCTTTACGTTATATGAGTGTTTTTGTTTTTGAAAAAGCTTTTGTAATTGTTATAAAAGTATAATTATCTATGATTAATTTAATTTAAATATATGTTTAATAAAAAATATAGTTGATTTTTCTTTTTGATTTTTAATTATGTCTAGGTGGATAAAAAAAACCCTTTGGTAAAGAAGATTCTAGAGTTGTGTTTTTACCCGTGGGGGTGGGTGGGTTAATCCTTCTTATCACATTAGTGAGAATAGAGATAATAAATCTTTCCATAAGGTACATTAGTCCTTTACAACTACATCAAATCCACCTCAACCACATGATTCATATAGGAGCATTGTAGTCAATGATGTCATTACTCAGCTAACCCTTCACACGAGAGCAAGGTATAATGCTAGTAATTCACTTCCCCGTAAAATAATAAATAGAATGCTAGAGACAACAGGTAGAGATTTTAAGATCATGGAACCATATGCATGTTTAATATTAACTATTTCCTTCCCTAATATAGTTTTGTTAGAGATATGTTTTTATACTATAATATATATATATATATATATATATGTGTGTGTGTGTGTGTGTGTGTGAGAGAGAGAGAGAGAGAGAGAGAGAGAGAGAGAGAGAGAGAGAGAGTCAGTTCCACCTAAATAGATAAATGACTATTATATTTTTGGACAAATATCTAAGATTTAAAGGGCTAAAATCCTATTATTGATCTATTTAAATATTATTATAATTTTGTCTAGTTCTCCTTAAACTAAAAAGTATGACATTGTTTTACACTTTTTTTAAGAGAAGAACACAAAATTCCTTGGGAGATATTTTTCAAAGCAAATCACTCTTAGTAAAAAATTAGGGGAGTGAGTCCAAATGAAAAGAATAAATTTTGAAATTTTGTTGATAATTATCAATATTATCTTATTTGGTTGGCTGAAAGGTATTCTCTAGACAACAATATATATGGTATAAGAGATATGTTATCATTTTCCTTGTATTATGTGCAATATAGCTATTATATTGATATTTATTTATCTTGTTTATATGTGAACCTCACTATTAAGACAATTAAAGAATAAAAAAAAAGTTATAAATTACATGTTTTTATAATCATCATCATCATTATTATCATCCTCTAAAGAGGAAGAAAGGAAAAAGTATTAGGAAAGAAAATCTTAGGAGAAGAAAAAGATGACTAATGAATCTAAAGTAGAGGTAATTGGTAAAACTCGAGAGTTGGGATATGAATGCTGATATTGACATGGAAATAGTTGGAAGTAGGTTCCTTTGTAAGATTCCAACCTCTTTGAAAAGAGAAATACACCAATAGGAAGAAAGATTTCATGGCGTCTATATTTAGAGATAATCCTTTAATTGTCAATAGTCATGACCAAAATACATATTATTACTAGAATAACTTAGTTTTCTTGAAATATTCAACGGCTTATAGGAGATAGTATGTCTAGTCTAATAGCTAGTAACTTGAATGACACTCTTTATGTGAGTGAAAAAAAGTTGATCTTTTATCATTATTCTTTATTATTTTTATTAATATTAACAAAATAAAAATAAAAATAAAAATAAAAATTTTCCAAATCAAGTATTAACTTTCTAAAAATAAAAATAATAACACACGTAAATAATTAATTCTTTGATACATACTTATTAGGATATAATTACCACTTCCAAGGAAAAACAAGCTCAGTTAGAAAAGAGTCTTTGTAAATTGCAATTAATATATTACTCCTTATAAATAAATAAAAAAAATTATATACAAAACTCACAACTTTTTATGCTGCTGTAATAAAATTTAAACAAGAAATTACTAGTTAAAAAAAAAAATTAAAAAGTTTGCAAGAATACCGTGAACTTGGTTGAATCAAGATCCAACTGAGTATGGATACTTAGTTGAACCAAGGCCTAACCGAGTTCACCCCATTTTCATTTTCTTCTTTATTTTTTTTAATTTTTCTAATCATCATAATATTCTTTGATTGAAATTTAATTCTTTTTCAATCTATTTTTAAGTTAATTAATTTATTTAAATTGGTATGCTCACAATAAAATTTATTTCCCATATCCATATATAACAATAAAAATAAAAGCAAGTCCCATTATCTGCACAAGTGCTCGCATTATATACACTATCACAAAAACTAACTTTTTTTCAAGGATCATATGAAAACTATTCGTTGTCTTGAAGTCAACGGTCTTCATATGAAGTCTCCTCCTTGCTACCTAGAGTGCACGATATTTCCCGCAAAAAAAAGCCACAATAATAATATCTCCAAGTCATCGCCATCCTCCTTCATTGTTTTGAATAATGGACTCCCCGTTCCCCAAGTAACATGTCGTCCTCTCACTCGCCCACGTGTCCCTAGTCGGTTTGTAGGACCCACCAGTTATCATCTTACTCAATCATGTCTGTACACCCGCAGCCCTGTCTAAAATAAATAACCATGATCCAAGAAGCAGTGTTGCCCAACCCCATCTATCCACGTGTCTACACGTGTTCTTGCATTTCCAACGTCGAATGTAGCCGTCATCACAGGTGCTTAGAAACTTGTTCTTTCAACACGTGTCCAGCAAGATTTTCTAGTTTATCCCCCTCCTATATAAGGACAAATTCAATCATAGTTCTTTCAAGTTTCAACCCAGCAAAAAGAAAAGAAAGAAAACCCATCCAAAACAGAACAGAGTAAATACAAGGATTCTCCTTTCTGTTTTTCACTTCAAATGATTCAAAATTTTGACCAAACTGATCGCCGGATTCTCACATTTCCGGCGGTTCATCCTTGTGAAGCCATCTCCCCGGCAACCCTACTCAATTCTTTAATCAGTCTCTCTCAAAACATATACAATTACCAATCAAAGTTGTTTGCTACACAAAGGAAAAATGCACGCCAAACCATTCGACAAATCAGTCTTCTTCTTCTATTTTTCGAGGAAACAAGGGACCGTAGATTGGCTCTTTCTGATTCGGCTGTTCTTTGCTTCTCCGAGCTCCACCTTGCCTTTCAGAAGGTCCAGTTCTTGTTGGAAGATTGTACGCGTGAAGGTGCAAAACTATGGATTCTAATCAAGTCTCAAATAGTTTCCACGCAGTTTCGAGCACTGATTCGAGCAATTGCGACAGCTCTTGATGTTTTGCCATTGAGTTTGATTGACGTTGGTGGTGAAGTGAAGGAGTTGGTAGAATTAGTAGGAAAGCAAGCACGTAACGCTAAAGTTGAGGTAGACCCTGAAGATGAATGGGCATTAAAACAAGTGTTCTCGATATTAGATCATTTTGAGAAGGGAATTGAGCCTGATTCCAGCTTTATCAAACGGGTACTTGATCATCTAGAGATTAGAAACTGGAATGACTGTAACAAGGAAATCAAGTTCTTGGAAGAACAAATTGGTTTTCGGTGCTCAGATTGTAATGAAAGAGAGGTCCCATTTCTAAGCAGCTTGTTGGGGTTAATGAGCTACTGCAGGGGAGTGATTTTTGAGACCTGGAATCATCGCAACAACGATAAAAGCGATGCAAGGCACGGCATTGAGGCCCCTAGTTGCATAAATACTGAAGATTTTCGATGCCCGATTTCACTTGAGCTGATGACTGATCCTGTAACTGTATCAACTGGGCAGACTTATGATCGGTCTTCGATTCAAAGATGGCTCAAAGCTGGAAATATGACCTGTCCCAAAACAGGTGAGAGGCTGACAAGCACAGAGTTAGTCTCCAACACCACTCTCCGGAAGCTAATCCAACAGTTCTGCACCGATGTTGGCAATTGTGCATCCAATTCAGGAAGCCAAAGTCGAGACATAGCCAGGACCATCTCTCCAGGTAGTCCTGCAGCAGCAGAGGAAATGAAATTCCTCTCGAGGTTTCTTGCAAGAAGGCTAGTTTTCGGTTCAAGAGAGCAGAAAACAAAGGCTGCTTATGAAATTCGGTTGCTTGCAAAATCAAACATTTTTAATCGATCTTGTTTGATTGAAGCAGGCACAATCTTACCTCTCATAAACCTTCTATCTTCTTCTTTTGAACACTATGCTCAAGAGATTGCTATCTCAGCTCTATTGAAGCTCTCAAAGCATACTTGTGGTAAGAAAGAGATCATTGAGAGCGGTGGATTGCAGTCGATTCTTGCAGTTCTTCAAAGGGGATTGAGTTTGGAAGCAAAGCAAATGGCAGCCGCCACAATCTTTTACCTTGCTTCAGTGAAGGCATATCGGAAACTGATTGGAGAAACACCTGAAGTAGTTCCGACCCTCGTGGAACTGATCAAAGATGGGACCACTAGTGGCAAAAAGAACGGAGTTGTGGCCATTTTCGGGCTACTTCTACACTCAGGGAACCACCAAAGGGTGCTTGCATCCGGTACCATTCCATTGCTGATGGATATTTTGTCTTCCTCAGATAACGATGAACTTGTAGCAGATTCAGTAGCAGTTCTTGCAGCCATAGCCGAAAGTGTTGACGGGACATTAGCAATCCTGCAAACTTCGGCTTTATCTACAATCCCAAGGATTTTGCAATCTTCGCCATCTAGAGCTGCCCGGGAGTATTGCGTTACTGTTCTGCTAACTTTGTGCAAAAACGGCGGTGCAGAAGCGATTGCGATTTTAGCCAAGGACCATTCTCTCATGAGTTCACTATATTCACTTCTAACAGATGGGACTCCTCATGGTATCAGTAAGGCTCGTGCTCTGATAAAAACTCTACATAGATTTCATGAAACAAGCTCTTCAGGAAGGATTGCTTCAGTAACTCCATGTGAACGACCAGTTCATGCGTGGTAACTTTTATTCCCATATTTTTTTTACTGTAAATACATCACACATACATTACAAAGCGAGGATAATATTTTTTTTTCCTCCTGGAATTTTATGCAATTTGCTCTAGTTTTTGTAAGGGCTAATTGCTGTATCCGTTGTATATCGTTAAGTAATAAGATACCATATACATGCAGGTGTGCTTTGATATATACATATGTAAAAGAGTGATATACGTTTTCTAGCAATCAAATTTCAATATTTTATTTGCCTATAGCGACGTTTATGCTTGGTTTGTCCATGGATGGTTTTAGTTAAGGATATATTTATTATCTTTCGATAAATAAAAAATAAATACATAAGATAACGTCAATACTCTTGGATTTTGAAAATCTATTTTATATGCTAAATTACAGCATTCGTTTTAATTTAATGCATTAAAACTAGACCACCCATCCAGTCTTATTTATTTATTTATTTATTGGCAAATGCATGTATAATTTTTTATTCTTCGTGTCAGTAGAATTCTCAGGCTCAATTAATTATGTGTAAACTGTAAAGACGAGCTTTAATTGCGTTTTTATATGTTTTAATGTTAATTGTTTTACCTATTGAATTACTTTTGAAAAATGATTAATTTCTAAAGAATAATGGATTGCTTACCTTATTTACCCAAGTGGCTCTTTCTTTTCCATTTTTATGTTTAAACGTGAATAAAACTCTTAGCTCTCATGAAAAAATTTTATATTATTATTAAACCTGAAAATATAACAGTTTTAATTTATCTTTTTTCATAAAGATAAACTTGGCCATGCTATAATTATTTTTTACTAAAGAGGTGATCAATTATTAAAAAAAATATAATTAAAAACCGATATGTTGTCTACCATATTTATAAAAATAAATTCTCACTCTAGCTCTTGAACCCGCGACATCTAGGTTCCTATTAATGACTTGACTCAGTTGCGATTTGAATTTATTATTAATGATTAAAAATATATACTAAGATGCTTTGCCAATTATATATATATATAATTTTCATTGAAATTGTTTGGAATAATATTTATTGACAAACTATAGATGCTTTCTCTCCTTTCTATCACTGTTACATGATTGTCTATCATTAAGTTGATTACTTTAATGAAAATATTTTGGCCATGTACATATCTTTAAACACTCATTTGCTTGATCTCCACTAAATTCCCAGCAGAGGATGAACACGGAAAACATCATTTTCCACCATGGAATTGTCATAATACATCACAGGCACACTTCCTGATCAAGCCATAAATATCCTAATAAATTTTAGGAGGACATTTAACTTGTTTCTCCCCTTCTTTTATTATTCTTCAGGTAATCTATTCACTCATGAATAAATGATACGTAGCATTGTTAAGGATCACAAGTGGACAAGGCTTTAAGATTATGATCACTGATGCGGGGTGTGAATCAGGACCCATTGTAAAAAAGTTTAATCTATATAGATAATAGGTTTTAATTCATCTTGGAATTCGGCATCTACAGGATTGTGTGTGTGTGTGTGTGTGTGTGTGTCCACTTAGCATCTCTAAATTGTGCACATCGAGATACAGACAAAAGTTACAAATAGGCCCTAAATTGTATAGACAACTTTATTAATTATTATTAACAATAAATCTTATCTTTTTCATTATGTGTTTTGTTTTCGTTTCTCTTTATATGTTCTCACTTGCTTGGTTCATGACGATCTCTTTTTACAAGTACAATTCGCGAGGTTTTATGTTTTTGTTTATTTTTTTTAAGTAATGATTTTTTTAACTATAATTATTCGAGCTAATTTATATTTATCTCAATTAATTTTATAATTTTAAAATTAATAATTAGATAAATCATTAGTAATCCTAAAATTAATGACACTCAAAACTGCCCTTTACAAATCAAATACAAGACCTAATTTAGTTGAGCTACATTGACGATGAAGGGGCTTGTTTTTCAATGGGTGGAGGAGGAAGAGACACTTGAATTAGTTAACTAGTTTCCTGTATTGTGTAAAGGATTAAAAAAAAAAAAATCGAGGCTGCAAAGAATTATTAGGTATTGTTACAAAAAAATATATATTTAACCTGACATTTTATCTAGTTTGGATTTAAAATAAATTTGTGTAAGAGTCTTTTAATTAACCTAGTCAACTTGATAAGTTGAAAAATAATCCAAATGATCAATAAAAAGTTTAGTTTGACTTTTAAAAAAATTCAAGGTGATTGTTTTTAGTATTGAAACGGTAATATCTTAGACTGACTTGGGTCTTGTGACTTAACCAATCAAACCTACAACTTAGATCATGGACTCCACTAGGTTTAATATCTTTATTCTTTTAAATTACTTTTTATTTTATAATATAATAACAAAATTAAATGCTCATATAATTAAATAGTAGCCAAATACTAGGAGTTTTTTTTAAGATTATAATAACCTTATATAAAGTAAACTAAAACAAATTATAAAATTCAATTCAAAATTAATTAAATATTAAATGATAAAATAAAAAAGATTCATTTGAAAAAAATTTGAAAATGAATTTTCTATTAAGAATAAAAACTGTATAACATTTTTGCTAAACCTAACCCATCGAGTTAATCTTGAAAACTTCAAAGTTGGCTTTTTGTCCGGCTCAAGTTTAAAATTAACATGGATGAAAGTTGCCTCTACATGACTCAATTGACTTCTTAAGTCTAAAGGTAACTAGAATGACTAGTAAAAATATAGTTTTACATTACAAAAAATATCTAGATGATTTTTTTTTTAATATTGAGACAACGACATATTAGATTGACCTAGACTTCACAGTTTAACTTACCAAACTCGCAACTCAGATTGTGGATTTTATCAAGTTTAAAAACTTTATTTTATAAATTATTTTTTATTTAATAATATAATAACAAAAATAAAAATTTATAAAATTGAGTATTAATTAAATGTCAAGATATTTATTTGAGATTGTGATAACCTAAAAAAAACAAATCAAAATAAATTATAATGACCGATTTAAAATCAATACAATAGTAAAACATCAAAAAATATTCAATCAAAATAAAAAAAAAAGAAATAAGAAGACATATTTTTTATTAAAAAAGGGAAAAAGTAAATTTTTTGAAAAGAAAACACCATAGAGTAATTAGGTTAAGACATTAAATTATAATCAATGAGGATTTATCTCGGTAAGATTTGAAGAGAAAGAAAAGGTGAGATTGGATCCATTATCAGGTTATTAAGTTTGTTGAATTCAAATTAAATAATTATGATTTCGTGTATGATAAAAATGAAAATAGTTTAGCTTTTTATTTTATTTTTCTAATTTAATTCAAATGATTGAATTCAAAATCAATAATAAGATTAGAAATATAACAATTTATATTCTTTTAAAAAAGAAGAAGCTAAAATCAAAGAAGAAAGTGGTTGAATTTTTTTTTTTATGTGTAATAACATTATTTCTACAGGCCAACCTTTGGAAAGGTGAAGCGTAAAACCTTCAGTAATGATGATATTTAAAACATCAAAGTTATTTATTTATAAACTTTGTTTTTTATTCTAGATGAATGTTCAACTTAAATATCATTATATTTATAAAATGAAACTTAACTATGATTGTTGGCAAACATATATAGAAACAATCTAGATTATTTATTTGTGTTATGTTGCAGTTTAGATTAATTTTTTAAAAAATATTCAAATATTATGTAAAAATTAATATAATATATTTCTATTGATTTGACAAGTTTAAAAATAACTTGAATAACAAAAAAAAAAAATTTGACTATAAAAAAAATTCAAGACTATATTTTTTTTAAAAGAATATTTAGACAACAATATATTGAATCAATTGGATCAACTTAAGTTAACATGTTAAATATATAACTCAGGTTATGGTTATGGAATTGTGATAATATTACAAAAAACAAATTAAAAAATATTAAAGCTTATTTCTTAATTAATCTAATATTGAATAATAAAATTAAAAAAGCTAATTAAAAAATAAAAATAAACCCTAAGTCAACTTTGGTTAACATGTAAAATATAAATTATGAAACAAAGATAACCCCATATAAAATAAATCAAAACAAAGTTACAAATCCTAATTAATCCAATATTAAATAATGAAATTAAAAAAAATCAATTAAAAAGAAATAATAAAAGAGTTGTGTTAACTCAATTTAACCTGTGAAACCCTTGACTTATGGCATAAGACTAAGATAGTTTTATATAAAGGAAGTTAAAATAAATTATGAATCTTAATTTTTAATGATGAAAGATTAAATTGAAAAAAAAATTTAAATACTAAAAACAATAGAAAAACCTAAGTCAATTGAATTAACCCATAAATCTCGTGATCTAAGTTATGAGATTTAAATAACTTCATAAACAAACAAGGTAAAATAAATTATAAAGTTCAAGCACTAATAAATTTAATTTTAAATATTTTTTTTAAATAAAATTAATTTTAAAAACAAAAATTAAAATGCCAAAAAACATTATTATTCCAAATAACAGTATTTTATGAGGGGAACGTTGATTTCCCCTCTTTAATTAGTTCTTATGACTCATACTATATATTAGGGTTGGATTCCTTTTCTTTTTTAATAAAAAATAATGTTAAAAAATTAAAATCTCTTTTAAAAAAAATCAACCTTATAAAAAATATAAAGTTAATTCAGATTAATACATCAAACCTACAATCCATATAATAAGATTAAGATAAATTGAAGAAAAAAAAGCAAAAAACCACATAGTTTTTTTTTAAGAAAAAAAATCAATATTACCCCCTTTTTTTGTTATTTTAGGGTAATATAAAAAAGATAAAAAAAAAGGCATATAATTTAAAAATATAAAAAGATTAAATTGTTCCAAATCAATTTAATAATAATACATGAGCATTGTGAAAACACCTCACTATCTTTAATTACCAATTCATTAATTTTTTATGTCTAGTGAACATTACCATTAAATTTGGATGAATAATGTTTTCCCAGGAGTTTTGACTTTGTTAATTTTCAGGGGTCAAACAACCACGGCATTTGGGTTGCGAAGGATAGCATGGAAGGAGCTCAAGTATTAATTAATTAAGCTTTTCATTAAACATTAATTCATTATATTAATTGTATAACAGAAAATAATAGTTCGATTAATTGTTTTAAATAGTTGAGTTTATCTTAGTTATTATCTTAGTTAGTTA